ATTTAATCGAAAGTTTTAAATAATTACAAATAAATTTCGATCTCATCCTAGTTTGGCCAAATAAACCCAGGGATGTATGCTTGGTTACACATGCCAAAAGATTCTAAGTGGTAATTGAAAAACTATAGCACACTAGTACTACTCTACCAGCAACTACTAGCATACTTCTTGACTAGGAGCCTTGTTGCTACTCTTTGTCTCATAACCTAGAAATCCATTATATGACCAGAATTAAGCCAACTGTCCAGAGGGAGGTCTAATAACGAACCTTAAGGTGTGCTTTCAACACTAAAAGTCTGAATTGACCTTTTTTTCACATCATTCACCCAACAAAACGAAGCCAAGCGAAAGTTCAGTCAAAGCCCATTCTCAATGACCCTTTCCCTACTTACTAAGAAAATGCACACATACTTTTTTGAGGGTGTTCGATCTCACTGTAATCACTGTTGTTTAGTCAGAAAGTGACTCCTTTGAGAATGTACTTTTAGGCCTAGTTAAATATCAAGTGCTTGGGCCTCTTATACACATAGTTGCCTGTAGATTTTTGGGCTTTCAAATCATTCCCAGCTACGTGGACCTACAGCTTGATTTAAAATAAAAAAGCCCAATGTGATCCGATCTGTTAAACCCTTCCATGAACAACATCAGAAGAAAAAAAAGCCCTCGCAGGTTACTCGAATCTCACTCTCACCTGAGTTTGCCATCCATTTCCCATCCACCATCGGCCAAATGTTGAAGTGGTGGCGCGCGGCCAATAGCGCACGCAAATCCTCGGCGGTGACGCCGACTCGCCGCAACTATCACACGATCCAAGCCATTCCTCGGGAGATCTCCGGCCACCGTGTCGCCGTCCGCGAACGAGCTCATGGTCGGATTCCAGCCGTCGTATTTTCCCAGAACTATGTCCAGAAAAACCCTAGCGACCCGACTTCAATCGTCGCCACCAGCTCGGTTTCTCAGAAACTGCTTCTTACTACCGAACGGAAGCAAATTAAGGCCATCCTCAAGGATGTAAAGCTCCCGTTCTTCTGCTCCACTACCTTCCCCCTTCAGATCCGGGCCGGTTCGGGCTCATCTACTATACTTGACACCAAAAAGGTTCTTCCGATCAAGGTAATTATGTTTCTTCTTTATGTTATTAACGTGCTTTGATTATTTGAATTGCAATGAGACTTGAATGATGCGATTTTTCAAATTTTATTTTTTTTATCTCTAATTTTTGTTCTCTAGCTTCTCTAGGTCTGTGCCGGACACTATTGGAGCGCATTTGTGAAATTCTGTTTGATAATGTTGTTTTGTTTTTCTTCTTCCTATTTGTTGGGAGTATAGTTACATAGAGATGAAGAAGGGAATATATTGAACGTCGTGCTCGTGTGGGCAGAAGATGGCACTGAGCTGAAGGTGGACGTCCCCATTGTTTTCAAGGGAGAAGATGTCTGCCCTGGTCTCAAGAAAGGTAGGTCTTCAACCCTTCTTTATAAATATTTCACTTTTTCATCTGCTGTTCAGGGAGAACTCTTATTTGCCTTTTGGAAAGTGTGGATGCGAAGAATTCAATTGTGCTGTTGCAGAAGTTGTTACGGTGCTAAATTGATCTTTCTGCCTATTCTTAGTTTAAACCTCAATCACTTGTAATCAGCATAGTCATAGATATTTGATGGTTTTGTTGTGCTTGAATTGGATGTATTTCACTAATTAAAACACCTGCTCGTTAGAATGGTGACTAATGTTTATTGAAAACACATGTAGTGGCATCTTGATCTGAAATTTGCCTAAGCCCGGTAGAAAGTTAGAAAACAGCAATTTACCAATACTGGGAAGAAAAAAAGCAAGAGTGTAAGAGCAATATTGTGTATTACTACAACTTTTGGTGTGAAGGGTGGAAGCAGAATCATGATATGTAAACTAAACACACTTTTTGTGTAAGTTTTGAATTGAGAATTTTCTTTTCTTATCTAAGCTCTCCATATTAATTCATTTCTTATGTAAGTTCTATATTAAGGATAAGTATTTTCTTTTATTGTTCAAGCTCTCCGTATTAATTCACATGTCATCTCCTAGATACTCTATGAAATCTGATCCCAATTGTGACAACAGGGCTGACTTGTTTTTAAATCATTCATTGACAAATGGTTGCCAGCTTGGTGGTAGTTTCCATTTAATTTCACATTCAAAATTCTCTCCCCTCTCTATCACTTTGTTTTTTTTTTTTTTTTTTTTTTTATTCATTTGTCTGTAGCTTCGGTTTTGTTTATCAAAATCATGAAATATTGATGTTTAACACGTTCACACTGAGTCTCCCTCGTCTTGCATCAAATACAGGTGGCAATCTAAATAGGATAAGGACTAATTTGAAATACTTGTGCCCAGCTGAACATATACCTGCAAAACTCGAAGTGGATGTGAGCAATCTCGATATTGGGGACAGCATATCCATGCACGATGTTGTGGTTCATCCCAGCTTGAAGCTTCTCAGTAAGGACGAGACCATGCCTGTTTGCAAGATTATGGGAACAAATTTAGAATGCGAACAAAATACATAGCAGAAAATCAGTTGCCATTTTTGGAAAATGCGAGGTTGTTCAAGCTCACAATGCTATGTTTCTTTGTTTTGACATGTTTAGCAGAGGTGTTTTTAGGAGGTCATTCAGACATTAATGTTTATTGTTGGTGATATGTATGAATCGGCCCATGTTTACTTGATATCTTGTGACTTGAGGTTCATTTGAAGTTTATTCTTCCTATAATATTATGAATTTATAGTGGCAATGTAATCTCTAGTTTATTAATGATGTTTATTTTTCAATTCATTTTTATCTGTATGCTGTGTTTGGGTTGAAGTTTACTTTTAATCTCACCCATCTAAAGAAGACTTCACCATCAATTCTCAATCTTCTAACTAGAGTATAGGAACATTCTCCTATAGCCATAAATAGCAAAAGCAAGTTTATTTTCACATGAATAATTTCAATTATTTGTTAGAAATTTGGCAACAAGTGATATAAAGAGCTACAATCGACATTTCCTATAATAGCTTTATTAATTACCGTTCCATTTTGCTTGTCACTTGTTAGTTCCCTTCAGAGAGAAATCGAAACTTTATCTTGTCTCGGATATATTTTGCCATAAAATAAAAATAAAAGGTGACGATAAATTAGGAAAAAAAGAAACCCACTTTCCCCTGTTTTAAAGATTTTTTAAAAAAGGGAATCATTTCATTTTCACGGCCATCGTCGTCAAACGGCGTTTTGCAGCGTTTTTCCATTTGCAGACATTTCTCCGATTACCCCAACCGACAAACCTAGGAGAGGGAGAGAGGGGTTAATCTTCTTCTACCTACGCCATGCCAGTTGGGCACTTTTCCAATTTCTGCTCTCAACCGATTTCGTGAAAAAAACATGCACTGGTGGCAGGGTGCCTTCTCCTCCTCCTCGTCCAAGAGGCATTCCGATGACGACAGCGTCATCGTCTCCGAGGGAAGGTACTCCGTCAAGGCCGGATTTTTATCCGGCCGGCGGACCCGCAACCGTGGCCGCTCGAGGAAAGTGAGGTACGTGTCGGAGAAGGACGATTACCCGTGGAGGTCCCCCAGCCGCTCGGACCATTCCGCGTCGGCCAGGTCTCCGGCGCCGGCGCCGTCCAAGCCTCAGCCCTTGCCGATGCCTGAGCTGCATGTTCTGCTGCGGATGGACCCCAAATTCGCTTCCCCTAGCGTGCCTCTGCCTTCATCGCGAGGTGCCAATCAGAATCAGAGGGGAGGGTATGAGGAAAGAGAAAGAGACAGAGAGATGCAGATGGCAGAGACATTGAGCGAGGATGAGGTTGACGGGCTGAATGGGCTCAGGAGGTATCTTTATCAAACAAACATAACTTAGCCTGATTTGTCATATTTTTATTCCTGATTTGTTGTGTATTTGGCCTTCTTTTTACAATGTGTAAGCTGTTATCTTATTAAACTTTTGAATCATTGCAAAACTTGGATTCCATGACAATGTTGCAACTGCAACTGGAATTTTGTTAATCTTCTGTGTAGCCATTGGTTTGCTTGCAGAGAATTTTTAGTTTAACTATCTTTTCAAATTGGGGCAATTTGTGCCTGTAGTTATCAATTCTAAACCCTATTTAACTGTGCCCATGTAGCAACCTTTAAATTGTTATTCTTCCACTACATTGACTTCAGAGTAAACACAATGCTTTAGACGTATTTAAACTTAAAAACTCTGTTTTACTACTTTGTGAGGCTAGGCTGTATCCTTTTTCTTCTCTTCCTTTTGGGTTCACAAATGAAAACGATGGAAGAATAATTAATTCTCTTTCCTTGTCCCTTCATTCCAGAATCAGCAGATTACATGGCCAAACCAATCATTCAAACACGGACCACCCTGAAACCCGACCCTGCAGATGTAAAAAAAGCTCTGCACGCAAGCATACCCCTAAAAAAGCCCAATCACCCTACGGCTACAGGATCAATATCCCCATCAGTGCCCCCACCAGTCCTTATTCAAGCCCGGCCCTAAGCCCGCCAGGCTGTGACATGTTGGCATCTCATTACATGACCCCACCCAGCGTCTTCCACGTCTGGTCCGCCCCTGAGATCCCTTACTCGGCCCAAAACTGCTCCTTCTTCCAGCACACGCCCTTCGAGAAGGTCTTGTCCAGCGTTGACAGTTCTCCTCTACAGAGCCCCACTGTGGGGCCCGCGTCCCCTCTTCCCGGGCTATTATCCCCCGAATCTCGGCGTGAAGGTGGCGGTGGAGTGCACCCACTGCCACGTCCCCCTGGGAGTGGGAGCGCCGCTGCCGGTCAGCCCTCGCCAACGGCTTCTGTTTCGCCGTCCGACTTGAGGTCGGATTTCTCAGGGGCGTCTAACTGTGGAACGGAGATGGATTTTCCGAGAGGCAACATCGCCCCACCGCAGCTGTCGCCTATCGCGCAGGTGGCGGGAAAACCGAAAGTGATGCCGATAAAGTCCAGGTGGCGCAAAGGGAAGCTGATCGGGAGGGGAACATATGGGAGTGTGTATGTGGCTTCCAACAGGTATGTGTTTTGTTTGGTAGTGGACCAAACACAACTTTACTTCTTACATCATTACGTTTATATTCCTCGAATCCTGAGCATTGGAAAAAGCCAGGAAGTGAACTTGGGACTGTCTATATGTGGATATATTGGGAAGTTGAGTGGTGTAGTTTTAGAAATACTTTTCATGGCATCAGCAGATTCTGATAGCTTCTCTAATGATTGGGGCAAAACATGGGCAGTTTTTGTAATCACAGCTACAGGGGTGGTTTTTGTAAGTTTCAAGAGTTGGCTGAGTCTACTTGTAAATAACACATCTCATGGGTAGTTTTTGTAACTTTTCATTTTCCGATTTAATCATGTGTTTTTTGATTGTAATTCTGCATTCCTGTGAACAGAGAGACTGGAGCATTATGTGCGATGAAAGAGGTTGAAATTTTACTAGATGATTCGAACTCTGCAGAGAGAATGAGGCAGTTGGAGCAGGTTGGGTTCAACTTTAAGTGCTTGTCGTCATATTCCATTTAGCTTGTATTCACCACTCATTCCATTCTATTCGCTGGATACTTGTTTTTTTTTTTTTTTTNAATTTCTCGGGTGTAATAGAAATTTGTTGATCTTTTTTTATCATGCTCGTTGTGGGGGTCTATAAAACATGAATACCTTTTTATTTCCGTAAAATTGTTGAATATGGCTTTCTAAAAGTTGATGGCGGGAAATATGCCTTGGATATGAAAAAAGTTTTAAGACAGTTTATCCCTCTACAGTTTTGCTACCATGTTGTCTGGAATAGTAACTTGCTTCTGGTGATTAGTTATGATTTTCTCTTATCGTAAATTTCTTAAATTATATTAGTGCTTAATAGCACCAATACAACCATAAAGCTTTTTTCAAGTGGCAAAAAGTTTGGATGTTCAAAGTCTTCAAAAATTTCCCTCTTGGACTTTTCTTATCTATGGATTTGATGCCTAATAGTCATAAGTTCTGTTTCACCAGACAAGCTGCAAATTTTACTGGGTGAATTTTAGGCTTGATTGCATTTTTCTTGCTACATCGAAAGTATCAATTTTAGGACCTCATTCTGATGTATCTTAATCTGTTTCAGGAAATTAAAGTTCTCAGCCGTCTGAAGCACCCAAATATTGTGCAATATTTCGGTAGTGAAATTGTAAGTGATTCTTTAAATTTATTTATTATCTGCCCCCCACAAAAAACCATCAGTTTGGTAGCCATGTTTCATGAGATGGGGTCTCACTTAACGTTCATGCAGGTCGGGGACAAATTTTATATATACTTGGAATACGTTCATCCTGGTTCAATAAATAAATTTATCCAAGATCACTGTGGAGCTATTACAGAATCCATCGTTCGCCATTTTACTCGTCATATCCTATGTGGATTGGCTTATTTGCACAGCACGAAAACCATCCACAGGTACTATTTTGTTCTGTTGTTTTATGTCCCAGAGGACCTTGAAAATTCTTTCAGTTCAATTTGTTGCCGAAACATGTTCCAGATATTATGTTTTATCATTTATGTAATTATTTTTCAAAGCGAAAATTTGTGCCTTGGATTAGTTTGATTATTTGAAAATCCTATGTTCACAAAAAAGCCAATGTCCTAGAGAATAATCATGTTCTGGGAACAGAAAAATTAAATAATCAAGCATGCCTGCATTACAAATTTACAATTTAAGTTATTATCTTGGGGCCACTCAAAGTGTCATGGTTTTGA